GATTGTAGATTTCGAGAAGAAGAACATGTGGGGTCCAGAGTACACGACATTGGTTTACACCCCCCCCCCCCCCCCCCCCCCGCACCACCAAATCCGATTGTTCGGGAACCAAGCACAACGAGAACCCCCCCGCGTGATTCTCCGCAGACACGAATTACCCAGCAGAAAAAAAAACTCGAACAAAAACACAGCACACAGCACACACGGTGGTGGGTGGGGTGGCTCCAGAAAGCAACAACATAAAAGTGTGGAGGACACCTGTCAGGAGTACGTATAACCAACCATGTGTGCACATACAAAGTGTAGGAAGATATGGCTCCCTCGGGGTATCTTGTCACAAGGAGAGTGACAGGAAATGCACCGTCGGAGATGGATATCTTCCGAAGTAGCCACTTGCCGAAAGTGGAAGCGGAGAGTCTTCGACTCTCCTCTCCCTCTGTCCGCTATGGCCACTCTCTCTTTCTACCCTCTTCTCCTCGTTTACATATCACGAGAGGAAATAGCCTTCCCCTGGCAGTGGGATAATACTGCCACGGCACCGGCCTCTGTCTCCGACAGTAGCCAGTGTCCTCAAAAGTTTTTTTTTAGCTGAACAAATTAACCGAGCTGTCAATTTGTCTGTCCTCACAATCTGTCGCCGAAGTCGCCCAGGCCAGGGAGGATGTACCGCTTCTCGTCGAGGCAGTCGTCCATGGCACCCGTCACTATCGTCACCTCCGGGAACTCCGCCCGCACGGCCCCGATCCCCTGCGCGCGCGATATTTACAGTGTCAACACCGATGCCATACCTTAAACGTTCCCGACACGTTTTTTGATCTACCTATTGACAAAGAGAGAGAGACAGAGAGAGACAGAGAGAGAGAGAGAGAGAGAGAGAGAGAGAGGGAGAGGGGGAGAGAGAGAGGGAGGCAGAGAGGCATAGACAGCAGAGACAGACAGACAGAGAGACAGACAGATAGGTAGAGACAGGCAGAGACAGACAGAGAGAGAGGCAGACACAGACAGAGACAGAGACAGACAGACAGACAGACAGACAGAGACAGACAAACAGAGAGGCAAGCGACAGGCCGAGACAGAGACAGAGACAAGACCAATCAAACGCCAAGAATCTGTTCAGCGGCATGAAGCCGCGGCGGGTATTCCTTTACCTCGGGACAAACCACGACCGTGATGAAAACGATGGCCGCCTCCTTAACCCCGGCTTCCACGAGACACCGGATCGCCATCAAAGCGCTGCCGCCCGTCGCGAGCATGGGGTCGCAGAGCAACACCTGCGCGTCCAAGAAAGGCATGTTTTGGGGTGATAGTGGTGTATAGTGCACCACATGGGCGCGCGTGTACGCCCTCAGGATACAGAACGACCACGCGACGGTCTGACGTCAACTATTAGGCATTTCGCACGCTTCGGTTTCTGCCGCAAATGCGTGTGGCTGCCACTCGGGTTTCGGACAGGTTGCCGCTCGCAGTCCTTTCGTTGTTTCGGATGCGGCTGTTGTTGACTGAACGCTCGTTGTTCTTGGCCCAACACTCCCACCATCCACAACATTAACATTTCATTTTGACCTTTGTATCAGCCCGAAAAAGAATCCATCGTCCTGGTGCATCATCAGCGTGACCGACATGATCATCCCTTTGCGAGGACGGGTCTGTCTAGGAGCTTGGGAGGCATCTCCAGTCCCTACAAAACACACATGGCGCTAACAGCATACACCTCCGCAGTGACATGCACACAACAGAACCCCCGGGCTCAGCTTCGCACAGAAGCAGCGTCTTCTTGCCAATAGCCCATACTAAACCACGCCCAAAAGCGCCGCGACTTGAAAAATGCTTGGCATGGCGAGGAGTACTCGCGGTTTTACCGTACCTGCATCTTCCCTATCTTGGAGGGCAGCTTCTTGTAGAACAGCACCGGGTGTTTGTCACTCGACTCCTCGTCGCGCTGGATCAGTATCTACTCTCACGAGCGGCATTCCCGCGGATCGGGGACGGCAGGCGGGGGTGTGGTGTGTTTTGCAAGTAATTATCGACCACACGTCCACACGTTCTTCGAGCGGACGGAGCACTGTTCCCACACGACCGAGGGCCAATCGTTCCTTCCTACTGTTCTGTGAAGAATGGTTCAAAAACGTTTTCCCTGCCTTATCGATATCACTTCCCGCCTTTTCAGCACGGCCGGGGGGGGGGGGGGGGGGGGGGGGGGGAAAAACAAAAAAATTTATTTTGTTTTTTTTCCGAAGGGAG